AAATAGGGTTTGATTTGCTGCAATCCATTGTGGTTCCAAGCCTGTGTGTCCAAGGTTACATCTTTGCTGTCAGTGATGTTTGTGCCAGTTCGTGGTCCTACACATGCAGTGTTCATGTGTAGAGCACTGGCTATTTAATGGCCCAATATCTGCGGTGCAAGTGCTCTAGGCAGTGCCTTGGTGCACACCTCCAGTCTTGGTGCCACCAGGAGGAAAATTGCTTCTTGCCGGTATGTGCTGCACAAGTCCAACTATGGATGCAAATCTGCATCCAAAATAATTGCTCCAGTTCACTAATTCACTAATGTATTTTCCTTAGGATAGCTGAGCATTTTAGGAATCAGTTCTGGAGACAAAGCATCTGCAAAGCTTGAGCTGGCCATGAAGGACTTGACACAGGTAATACTGTTCTAGGAAGCTACATAATTCCTCGTGTCTGTGTTCACAGCTGAGGAATTTGGGGGTTTCCCACACGAAATCGTGGTTACAATTTTGAGGAGCTGTCTCAAGTTCAAGCTACAGCAAAAGAGGTTCAGAGCAAATCACTGAAATGAACAGTGCCAGGTCAGTGCAACCAGGTGGTGGTCGGCTTCAGGTATGAAAATAACTTAAATTGGAAATTGCTTGGACACTGGCATCACGGGTAAGCTGTGATTTAAATTGGCCCTGCTACCGAAGGAATGAAAAGTGGGCTGCTTCTGTGCTGAAGGTATCTCCAAGATGATCCAGCGGAATTGTAGACAAGTTAGGTCTCATGTTTTATGCTGTAGATCGCTTGAGTTATCAGAAGTTCGTAGACACACATGGACTACAGTGTTTCAGAGAAGAGTTGATGTGACTTTAGCAGAGGAAACTCATGTCTTGCACACATAATATAGTTTTTTTAAGAGAGCCAGTGCATAAAAGGGAGCCAGGCACTGTGGAATAAGAGGAAAGTTTCTCTTCTGAATGAATAACTGGTTATAGATAGGAAATAAAAGATACAAATAACTGGCCAGTTTTCGCAGTGAAGGGAGATTACCAATTACCTGTCTTGGGAACCTGTGCAGTTCAATATACTTATAAAAGAGCTGGAAAAGGGAGACTGACAATAGTGACGTGCCAAAATCCGCTGACAGTATAGAGTTATTCCAGGTAAGCAAACGTAGACATGACTACAAAAAGTTGCAGAAGAATCTGACAATATCAAATGTCTGGGCAATAAAATAGCTGCTGAAATTCCATGTCGATAAAAGTCAAGTGCAGACACAATGATAGGGTTTAAATTAGCCCGCGAAAGAGGTCCTGGCGTCATCGCAGATGGTTCTTTGAAAACGTCTTCTCAGTGCTCAGCAGAGGTCAGAAAGGCAAGTGGAATGCTAAGAATTGCTGGGAAAGAGATGGAGAATAAAAGAGAAAATGTAAGTACACCACTGAATAAATCCGTGGTGATCTTGAATAGAGTGCAATTCCAGTCACCCCATCTCAATGCAGCAGCAAAATAGAACTATAGAAAGATGCAGAAAAGGGCGAGGAGGCTGACCTGAGTTATGAAGTGGGGAATCTAAGCCTGTGAAGCTTGCTGAAGAAATGAATGAGCAGGATTAAGGCAGAGGTGTAAAATCAAGATCGCTATGGAGAGGGGCAATAAGGAATTATTTTTTTGCAGCAGAGGTTGTAATGACATGGTCAGGCAACGAGTTTAAAGCAAACAACAGGAAAAAACTTTCACAGGCTATAATAAATCAGGAAACTCATCAAACAGAATCTTTTACATGCTGGAAGTACAGGTTGTTTAAAAAAGTAGCAGTGTGAGGTTCCCAGAGCTGGCTCCAACATGTTCCTGCTCCAGCACCAGCTCCAACATGTTCCTGCTCCAGCACCTATCCCGATGGAATGAGTTGTCCATGTCCCCTCTGTCCTCTACAGCTGGGTGAGATCTGGGTTCTGGTTTGGTTTGGCCTCTCACCAGTAGAACCTGCCCGTTTTTTGGGGCTGAATTATAATCAGTTAAAGGTTTGTTGTGATCTTCTAGCATGATCTCTCCTATGACAAAAGCCACAGAATTCCCTTGAATGAATTAATGAATTAATTCTCTTTGAATTACAGAAGAGTATTTGGGGAAAAAAAAGATCCAATAGTACCTTAAAAATCTCCTGCACTGAGTAAAAGGTCCCAAGGGTTAATTACACTCTCCCTAATTTGGTCCTTCCCATTTCTGCATGCAAAAGCTGTAGTAGCCCTTTTGGTTGCAGCATGGTAGTGGGAGGTCACGTCGGATGGCTCAGGAATTTTAAGACAGCAAGGACTAAAAAGTCTGCTAGAACAGGATTATCATCAAATTATATCTGCCTTGGCGGCAGGAAATCAATCAAGAGTGGGCTGATTTACACCTGCCGGAGCCAGCACATCATGAACTTCATCATCTTTCCCAGTGATGTTTTTATCTTCGCATCGACACAGTCAGTGCAAGGAAAATATTTTCCCGTTTAAAATCAAAACATTCAAGGTAGTGTTTGGCAGAGTGTTGGAGCCTAGGGTTCCCGCTGCTTCTGACAACAGTGCTGGTATCTTTTGCTAATGACCAAAGTGCAATATAATGAGTTGTCTTGGGCTTCTGCTTTATTCAGCGTGCAGTGTTTTAATAGACTGTTAGTAATTCTGAAAGGGATAAATGATGTTTATGCCCTCTTGTGGTATGTTATTGAACAGAATGGATTTTCTAACTGACAAAATTAGGCCAATGATGGAAAAGTCCCAGGTAAAAATCTGTAACAAATACTGTTTTGCACAGTAGAAAAATACCCACCCCTCCAGCAGCATCCTCATGACTCAGTTCCGGGGAGGAAGCCAATTTTACATGCATTTACAGCAGCAAGTAAATGACTAATGCCCATGATGACAGAGTTTGTGCCATCTTCCCGGAGTGAAGATAATTTTAAAAGTGCTTTTCTTTGCTAGGAAGGTTAGAAAGTAAGTGAAATACTGCTTTCTAAAAGCAGTTGTGTTGACACCTCTTTGTGTTAGTTGTTGTCGACTGTTGTGATACATACCTTCACATTTGTTATCTTCTTTGCTCACACATCTGACGGGTAAATAATCTGACTCCCTTGGGGCAAAGCCTGTCCCAAAGATGAAAAACACTGTTTGGTGATTTTACATGGGGAAATAAGGCCAGATTCTTGTGAAATTGGGTTTGTTACCCCACCATGTTCAAATACAATGAAATAACTAGTCGACATCTTTCTCACCTGTGCTGAGAATTTAGATGTGGAGCTGAGAACCCAGGGCCTCCCCAGACAGGTCAGTCATGGATTTTGTATCGGTCTTATTACTTCATTCCTGATTGAAAATTGGATACAGCAAAATGTATCCTCCAGAAAGTGAAATTACCAGAATAAATCAGACTAATGCTCTACAAAGTCCAGCAACTGATCTCTGACTGTGGTCAGTACTTAGCTGTGCTGAGGCAGGATCTAGGAAACCCAACTGTAGGAAATTTGAAGACTTTTTGGTCCTAAATAATCTCCTGTTATTTAACTGTTAGCTAATGCTGTGAGGAAGCATTATTTCCACTACTTGTCATCTTTCTTTCTGCCCAGCCACCAAGTACGTAGAAGGCTATAGTAAAGAGGAAGGGAATGATTTCCTTTCCACATCCATGATAAGTACAGCCACAATAGTGGGTTTAAATGAAAATAGTGGGCTTAATTGGGCTAGGCTTTAGGAAAAACTCTGTAACACGATGGTAAATATTGGAATGGACTCCTTGAGGAAACTGGAGGATCTCCATCTCCGAGGATCTTTCAGGAACACTTAAAGAAATGTTTGCTGGGAATAAGGCAGCTTTCATTCGTTGTATCATGATGAAACAAGTTGGACTCGATGACTTACTACAGGTCTGCCAGCTTTGGTTTTGTGGTTCTGTGTGATGATTTCCTTTTAGTGATTTTATTTATTAGCATGATGAGAGAACACATATTTGTCTGGTAATCTTAAATGCTAGCCCTTCGTTCTTACAGCTGATCTTACTGTCAAGTCTGGCCGATAGCAATGCAATTTTATCTATGTGCAGTTCTTCACAAGGAGACTTTGTAAAAGTAGTCTGACGCCAGTTAAAGTTAGGTTATCATGGACTTCAGTGAGCACAAGTTATGTCCCCACTGAGATGAGAATTGTCTCCAAAATGTTGGTGCATACCAGTTTCCTTAGAAAGGAAAATTCAGTAGGAAAAATGTCATGGCAAATCATGTTAATAAGAAATTTCCTCTGTCAGAAACCTTTCAGGAGTTTCAAATTCAGTTAGGGGATATCAGAAAGAAATTAAGGTCTCATTTAAAATCCCCACCCACATTCCTTCTTCTTTTCCTGCAAAGTGATTATTGCTCCTGGTCCACGTATTGGCAAATCTTTCAGAAATGAGCCATAATTTGCCTTAAAAGTACCTTTCTGGTCATGATGGAACTGTTCTTTTTGAAGAATGGATTTGCAGCAACTCTGTGAAGACCCCAAATGCTCTTATTTCTCAATGACATTAGTGGGGCTAAAATTTCACCCAGCAATTCTTCTTGGCATAAGGAAATTTGGGGTGGATGGCACATTTCAAAGCTGAGGCACCTGCCAGGTGAAGTTCTTGGACATTGCAAGGCAGCCGGCCAGGCTTGATCAAAGTGTGCTCTGCTGCCTTTCATATTTGTTTTCCACTTTCGTTGATGGCACCACATCCCTGCCTGGCACGGTTAATAAAGAGAGAATGAATGTGTGGCCATAGCAAATTAAACAAATGAGCCATTAAAACAGGAGGGTGCACTACCTCTTCTCACCAACGCCTACTTTGGTGCCTACAATGTCTCCTAGCAAAATAATGTGAGAGTAAAGATAAAGGGCTTTCAGGGATGTGCTGTAGCTGTGGTCCAAGCGCTGAGAGATGTCTGTGGCTCCTGCTGAGAGAAAACCCAACGTCATTCATCAGCAGAGAAGCCAGCAAACCACTAATGGCTTTCCATTGTGTTTCGTGACAGGTATTGACAGAGGGTGGTTTTGGTCCCATCACAACAGAAATCCGCGAGGCTCCGGAATTTTATTACGCCGAAGATTACCATCAGCAGTACCTCAGTAAGAACCCCGGCGGATACTGCGGCCTCGGAGGAACAGGGCTTTCCTGCCCTGTTGGAATCAAGAAATAGCCTGTGCTTACTCCACCGCCTCCACTTTGGTTTAGGGAGTTGTTTGAAAAAAGACAGGCAACTCCGATAGGTCTTATGGTATACCCACAGCATCAATGCCTAAATATTTGGGAATCTGTTGGGGTGGCTTTCCATAATCTGAGTAGTTTCCCATTCACCGACATTAAAAGACAAAGTAGAGGCCGAAATTGCGCCTGTTGGCAAATGCAGCTTCTTGCTCTGTGCAGCTCACTGGGTATCCCTGCAGTCTTGTTAATGTGGAGAGAAAACCAGCTTCTAAAAGTTTGGCTTGAAATGCTGTTAAAAGGATGAATTAGGGGGTGGTTGCACCTGCTAACTGCTTTGCATAGCTAATGCCTTCAGACGTGTTTATTTTCTTGGGTTAATGAATTTGCTCATGTTATGAGAGCTTTGACTTCTGGAGACATGGTTGGGCTCATCTTAACTATCACAGCCCTGCAATTTGATGTCTTTGAGAGTGGTGAATTTATAAGATCGGTAACTCTCTCACAATTCCACTTTCACTGCAACATGTGGTATCACCTATAGTGCCTATTTTCTGAAGCAATTTTAGTAAGAAAAAGTAAAAATTGTAATGTGATACTTCTTCTTGACAGTTCCAAAAAGCGTATAAACACAAAATCAATTTTGTTTCCTGCACTACAATAAATTACAAAAAAAAGAAAAGAGAAATGTTGTCTGCGATGTGTTCCATGGCTCTAAGTATATTTCGGGGTAGATCTAAAAAAAGTATCAAATATTATAAAAGGCTGCAGCCTGCTAATTAAACACCAGGGCTTTTAAATCTGTATTATTGTCCATGACAGTACAGAGGAGTAGAACTCATATTGGCTGCACTGTAACATAATTATTCCTATGATTAATTATTAGTACTTCAGTAGCTTGTGGAGCCCCCACCAAGACCAGAGCTCATTATGGCAGGTGTTGTGCAAACGTAATGTCGGGCAGTCTCTGTCCCAGTGTGTGTACAGTCAAAATAGCAGGACGGCCAGAAAGAGGCAAAATAAGTTTTCATTTTATTGATGGGGTTCTCAGAGTGGAGACTAAGAGCTACAGCCAAAGGACGTAGGAGATGCAGGGCTTATCCTATATGGGTATGGGATCCTATGGGTTATCTATATGCTATGGAGTATCCTAGGACAAACAGCTTCAGCAGG